TACTGATATACTGTGGGGCAAATATTTTAATTGCGCACTGAAATCTAGTTAAATAGATCTGACCGCAAATGGGGGTGGTGTTGGCCAACAATTAGTCTTCCTTATAAAGAAAAAAGACTTGAAGGAGGGAAAAAATAGCATTTTGTTTCAGATGCATAGTTATATATCCTAGAAATGAAGGACTTGCAGAGACCTTGATAGTTCATCTAGTCCAGTCCCCTGCACAAAGGCTGGACTAACTATTATCTCTAGACCATCCCATACTATCCATTGATCATCCTGTTTACTAGAAGAGGATTATACTTTTCTTCTTATGATCTAAAGCCATGCTTTCTGATGATGGCAATGTGCAGTTGTATATGCAAATCATCTGAACTCCTGGATAATATCACTATACTGTAAAGCATATGCACTATGTGACTGAGATAGGGCTTTTATCTATATTCAATGACAAAAAAATATCTTTTAACGTGGTATTAAGGTTGCTTCTCATGTTTCCTTGCAGAAATTTGAGTTGACAATCTTAACTCTGCCATGTTTGTCATTTCATACAACCTGTTACTTTACATATCTTTGTGGGTCTTCCTCTCTTTAGCATCCATTCACTCTCATCCACGGAGTTTCCTCTAACGCAATTAAAAGACAAAAAGGGGGAGAAAGGTACCCATTAGTAGATTTCATAGTGTTATTGTAGCAATGTTTCAGATACTCAACTAAATCAGAGAAAACTATGCACACCTCCAACACATACATCTCTGATGTCCAGATCTGCTCTCGTATAGTGTATGAGGTGCATACCACAAATAAGTCCCAGATAATTTCCGTCAAAATGAATGACCACAATGGCCCATAGAGAAAAAAGCATTGGTTAGGCTCTGCAGGGTAGGTAAACCATGATACCAATGTAGGCTACTTCTCTCCACCTGATCAGCTTGTAGTCTACAACCCTTATGTCATGCAACCAGTCAATGGGAGCTGAGAGACTGTGCTATGGATGGAGCAGTGCATGAAGCATCCCCCTCACCCATGCAGTGCGGAGAGGCACATGGAACGGACAGTTACTCTGAGCTCTGGGGCTGTGGCAGGCAGGAAGCTTGCCCAAGGGTCCCACTGGGCTGCAGGCCAGCAGCTGCTAAGGCAGGGGTGGGCAATAATTTTTGACTGGGGGCCACTTCAGAAATTTTTGAAGTGGCCCCAGGCTGCTCCAGAAGGGGCAGAGCCAGGACACTTCCGTGCTTCCCCGACCACAGACCCTGGTTAGTCTGCGGGTGGGAGAGCATGTGAAGTCTTTGCCCTCCGCCTCAGAGAGAACTGCCAGCTGTTCTGAACAACTGGTGGCTCCCTCTAGGTGCTCATGCCCCTGGTGATGGGAGGAGACTTTGCACACTCCTCTCCTGCCCCCAGCTCAATTGGGGTGGGGAGAGCATGTGAAGTCTGCCCCTGCCCTGCAAGGGAGTGCCATGCTTGGAGTCACTCGCCAGCTGAACCACAGGTGGTGGTTGACTGTGCTGAGCTCCTTGCAGGACGGGAGGAGACTTTGTATGCTCCCCCTGCCCCCAGGCCAATCTGGGTTTGGGGGCAAGGGGAGCATGCAAAAGTCTCTTCCCGCCCTGTCCTGCAAGTAGCACACAGCGCTTCTAAGCGCCACGCATTCCTTACAGGGCAGGGTGGGAGGAGACTTTGCACACTTCCTCCACCCCCAGGCCCTGATTGGCCTGGGAGCAAGGGGAACGCAAAGTCTCTCATTCCCTGCCCTCCAGTGCATCACACTTACAGTCAACTGCCAGGATTGACTTTTACATGCCACTTGCTCCCCCGTCCCCAGGCCCTGTTTGGCCTAGAGGTGGAGGCTGGATCAACCCGCTTGGCGGGCTGGATCTAACCTGTGAAGGCCCTTTTGCCCACCCCTGTGCTAAGGTAAGTGCCTCCCAGCCAGAGTCTGCCTCTCGCACCCCACCCTCTCCTGCACCTCAACTCCTTGGCCCACATCACCACCCAAACCCTCTGCACCCTCCTTTGCCCCAGGTCAAAACTCCCTTCCAGACTCTGTACCCCTTCCTATTCTCTTCCCCCAGGCCAGAATCCAATCCTGCACCTATACCAAGTCTCAGGTCATGCACCCCAATCCTCTGCCTTAGGTCACAACCCCCTCCTTCACCCAAACTCCCTCTCAGACCCCACATCCTTTCCTGCACCCCAGTACCCTACTCCAAGCTCCTTTCTGGACTCAATCTCCATCCCAGACTCTGTAGCCCCTCCATAGAAAAGTGCATCCCTTGACAACTTACCAAAATCTTCTCAGTTTCGGGCCCCCAATGAGTTAGGGACATGGTGGGATCCATGTGGCCCATTGAGGATCTATGTGTGGCCTATGAGACGTTTTATTCGCAGTTTCACACATGCAAAGTTGCCAGATTCTGCTGGTTCCTTTCTGTGTAGTCCTACCAGTATGACTAAAGTGACATTCTCATAACGCAAGGGCACATGAAGTGAGGTGTGTGCTGATTGCACACAACACTGACTGACTGTGAGGGCCATGCATTCTCTCTACACCAAATCAAAGTGCTGTTATGGTTCATTCAGCACGCCCTTCAAATTCTAGGTATTCAAGTGCAATTAGTAAAACTAGCCTATCTCATCTTGGTTATGACAAACCTTTGGCCCATTGAGATGATGGAGGGCCACTCACCTGGCTCACTTACAAGTCTAGGTTGCCCATCACTTATTTAGTGCACTACCTTAGATAAAATTTGGCTAAACAAGAACATTTTGACCAGCATCACAATAGATTGATACCTAGCTCAGCAAAAAGAAAACCAACCAACCAAAACATAACACATGCATTCCTCTTTGGAAGCAACACCTGAAAACATTTAGGCTTTGTCTATACCAGCTGTGGCCAACCCGTGGCTCGCGAGCCACATTTTTCCCCCCCAAAAGTGCGGCTCCCGGCGCCCGCCCCCGCCAATGGCTCCTGGTTCCCTTGTGCTCACTGGGTCGGTGATTCAAAATGGCGCTCAAGATGATGGCCGTCGATATGGCCTTTTTTTTTTGCTTGACAATTCTGGGGGGGCTTTCCTTTTTTTTCTTTTTCTTTTTTTTTTTGCTTGGGGGTTGGCCACCCCTGGTCTACAGTGCCTATGCAAGTGAAGCACAGATTAGCATATTGATGCAAATCATTTGCATAATTTATTCAAGCCATTTTTGCACAAGGGTTTTTTGTGCAAAAACAAGCAGTGTGGACTCTTTTTTTTTTTTTTTTTGCTCAAAAACCCCTTTTTCCGCAAGATCAGTATACTTCCTTTTTTGGGGCATAAGGATCTTGCAGAAAAAGGGGGTTTTGCGCAGAAAGAAAACAACTACACTGCTTATTTTTGCATAAAAACCCCAGTGCAAAAACGGATTGGCAGAAAATATGCAAATGAGATTGCAACTCATGCAAATGAGGGCTCATTTGCATATTTTTTGCTGAGAACTCCTAGTGTAGATGTAGCATCAGGAAACAGCTATTATTTGAGGGGAAAAGGAAGGTCCTATGTCTCTAAAACCAATGACTCGATTGACCCCACATTTGGAACACTACTTCTCTGCACTCTCAGAAGGCAGCACAGATTTCATGTGCCAGACTTTAGAGTTCAGAGCACAAAGAAGTGTTGTCTTTCAAGCAAGAAGGATAGAGGCATGATACCCATCCATCTGCAGCACAGAAATGCTGAAACTTGTGAAGTGGCCCCTTCATCTAATTGTGATATTCTCAGCTGCAAGAGAACATCCCGTAGAGACCAGTGAGCCTGAAACAATAGCTGTCAGACATGTGAACTGCTCCATTCACGTCAGGGGGTGTTCCCATTCCTCTCCTGAACATTTGACAGTCTGTGCAGTGCATGAAGAATGCCCATTCTCAGCTCCCCATCCAAAGTGGCAGGAGTGGAGACTTCCCCAAAACCTGGCTCACATAAGGGGCAGAGAGAAGCTCTCAAACCCCCCTTGACAACACCCTTCAGAGGCATCTGTGATGCTTCTTGGTGTACCCAAAACTGTGGGTTACCTTGTTTCCTGCTTTTCTTAATGAGAGGGAGATTTGCTGGTACTAAACGGGATGACAACTCGCTGTCACCTGAGTTTATTAGCCGCACCAAACTTCTCAGTCCTTTTTTTGCCTTTCAGGTCACATTTAGTGCACCTAGGTTTCATTCATGGCAATGGCATCCAGTCCACCCTGTCAGGAAAACTGGCAACCTTAGGTGTACCCAAGCCCTTGAATCCCTTGAAGAACCTTTCCCTGTTGTACTAACTCCTGTCACTGGATACTCACAGTAATTGCTAAGTTTGCTTCCTCCAAAGAGTACACGCATGCCAGCTTACTTGATTCAGCTAAGAACTCATGCTTAGCTTATGGTTATAGCACTGAGATCTACTTATGCTAAAACAAAGAAAAGGTTATTAACAAAGATTGAGCTTCAAGTGCTCCTGAGTAAAGGTAGTAGAAACGGCTATGGTTACAAATGAAACAAAAGTCTATACCATGCTGCTAAACTTGAGGTGGGTAAACTCTTTGTCTGAAATGTCTCTCTCACCTCCAGCAGTCTCAGCATCACCAGCTCCTTGGACCAGGACCCAGTTTTCAAGGATACAAAAGAGGCTATCCTTCTTGCTCCCTCAATGATGAATAACTTTTTGCCCTCTTCTGACAGTCCAGTAAACCTTTGAAACGTACCTTTTTGACATATGTCTTCTCCCCCAATGAGATCCTTTCTAGGCACACAAGGAAGGGACATCACTAGGGGCTCATATACTGCATATCCTAGCATAATGTGAGGGTAAGGAAGGGGGGGGGGCACAGAGCTCCCTAGAAGAGGAAAAGCCCCTCAGATCCGGATATATGAACAGCAAGGAGAATGTGGGGCTGACAGGTGATCTTTCCCCATGTGCTCCTCCCAATATCACAC